TTACCAGAAAACAGCAAACAACATGCAGGACAGCTTGCTATGTGTAATAAAAATATGATACAAATCATCCAATTCTCCGAAGAAGAGGCCCATGAGCCACATCGCTGAGCAAAATTGCCAACTATTTTGACTTAAAATACTTTAAATAATTAAAAGTAGTGAAATTCAGTATTTAACATAGTTAAGTACCATAATTTTCTTATGTAAGATTAAATATTTTTACAGCAACAAAATAAATTGAATCACTGGTATGTTAATTTCTACACTTTATTGCACGCATTTGAAGAGTAATGCTTATTTAAAGATAAAATTGTTCATGCATTTGCTAAAATGTATATTTTCAAATTTAGCACTGTGCCGACGTTATCGCCTGTAGTCATAATTTGAAAATGTTAAATCTACACAATAAGAGGACGCCAATATTCGAGTTCATTGATTTTCATATCAGAGGTCATGCAATACATATCCAGTTTTATATATATAAACCAGGTTATCTTCATTGTGTTGCAAATTTTCATAACCAACTGTAACAATATAATTCTGCACAGTTTTAGCGACAGAGTCATTGTTTGCAAGATATTTTTCCACACTGTTTTGCAAATTCATTTCAGCAGAGTTTTGACACAAAGTTGTTTCACAAAGATCATTGAGCAAGTTAATTTCAGGTTCATTGAGCAAATTCATTTCACAAGTTTTTTGGTTTTCCTGTTTTTTTTTATTGTAACATGAGGGCAGGCTCAGGGTCAACATTGGTTTTATTGTTTTTCACGAGGTCAGTCTCCTCAGTCATTTTCATGTCAGAAATTGTTTTACTGTTTTTTACGAGGCCAGTCTCCTCAGTCATGTCAGTCTGTAAATCTTTCCTGTTTCATCCTCCAATACTTCCACCGTGACATCTACAAAAAAACCCTTTTATATAAAGATCATAAAATTCAGGCAGTTTTTAGAGGGTTTGGACTGTAAAATAAAATGTATATTTTTCATCATCCTGCTAAAGACTTTTAATGGCACTACTAGTAAATGTACTTACAATGAGAAAATAAACTTAAAAAGATAAAACAAGCAAGTGAAGCAAAGAATTAAGTATAATTATGTCGTACCATGTTCTTCATTAGTAAAAAATGGTTTTGTATAAGAATATCAAAGATTAAGGGTTGGGGATCTTAATATTTTTTTTAGATATTAAGCAATATCTAGTTTGGGGATGGGGGTGCAATATATTGCATATAACACAATCTATGTATCTGAAGTTCCCACTATACGTCGATATTACATTCGCAGCATAGTTAAGGTTACGAATGAAAATATCGGCAATTTTTTTAAAATAGAAAATTCATAATTTATTAGGATGGGCGATTCTTTTTAGGACTTCACTGATATAAAAAAAGTAATGTGGTTTAAATCTACATGTTGGGGACATTTAGATTTTTTTTTTTTGATTTAAATCTTTCACGTGATGTCGACGTCACATGATTTTAGCAATTTTACTTGTAGTAAAGAGGTCATTTATAAATTTCAATATTGCAAAGGCATAACAAAGTTAAAAATCTTAGTTTAATTTATAATCCTTTTAAACACTACATGTAGTTAAAAGTGTTGCAATCCTATAAAGATTTCCTTTTTTAATTGCTAAAATTTAATCTGTTGGACGGCATGTTGAATATATTGCGAGTCAACTACTTTTAATATAGCTATTATTCATATATATGCAAGATTTCATGAGGTTCACAGCACTTTTCAAGTATTTTAACGCTTATTGATTTTATGTGCAAAACCTTGACAAAATACATTGAGAGATTGCCCATGCAATAAATCGATTTATTAGGGTCCTTCCATAACTTTTTTCAATGAATATGCATACAAACACGACAGTTTCACTTGTCTGGAGAATGTATAGACAGTTTATCAATACAAGAGGCCCACGGGCCTTATAGGACTAAGGTCACCTGAGTATTGTGTAACAACTTTCAAACAATTAAATCTGGTTCGTGTTTTAAACCAGAGGCCATGAAATTCACAATTTTGAAAGAGACACCATTGCTAATCATAATTAAAAATACTCTACTTACTCAATACCCAGAGGTAGATCAGAGTTACAAAGAGAAAATGTTCTTCCACTTTATAACCAGTTGTGCACCTCACCCAAAAAGAACCACTGACCTTGGGGCCACATATTTCAAAATTTTGCAAATTTTATCATAAAATGGTTGATTAATACCAAAGAGCAGGTTTCAAAGCATTAATTTATTTTCAGATAATGTACCCCCCCCCCCCCCTCGGGGCATAAAAAAAACCATTTTGCTAGATGCACCTTTCTTCATCATAAATATATATACTTGGATCATTGCCATAAAATTCACAATTATGGAAAAGGCACTCTCGCTTTTCATAACTATATGCTTAGTTAGTTTATTTAATACTCAGAAGCAGAGAAGAAGATTTTCAAAGAATAAATGCATTTTCACTATATAATCTATAGAGCCCTGCCCTAACACCAGAACCCCTGACCCTTGGGCCATAAAATTCACAAATCTGGAAGAGGCACTCTTGCTCATCATAACTATGTACTTAGTTAGTTTATTTAATACCCAGAAGCAGAGAAGAAGATTTTCAAAGAATAAATGCATTTTCACTATATAATCTATAGAGCCCCGCCCTAACACCAGAACCCCTGACCCTGGGGACATAAAATTCACAAATCTGGAAGAGGCACTCTTGCTCATCATAACTATGTACTTAGTTAGTTTATTTAATACCCAGAAGCAGAGAAGAAGATTTTCAAAGAAATAATGCATTTTCACTATATAATCTATAGAGCCCTGCCCTAACACCAGAACCCCTGACCCTGGGGCCATAAAATTCACAAATCTTGAAGAGGCACTCTTGCTCATCATAACTATGTACTTAGTTAGTTTATTTAATACCCAGGAGCAGAGAAGAAGATTTTCAAAGAAATAATGCATTTTCACTATATAATCTATATAGCCCCGCCCTAGCACTAGAACCCCTGACCCTGGGGCCATGAATTTCACAATTTTGGTAGAGGACTCAATGCTTATTACATTCATGCTAACAGTTTGCCTGCTTGATGTCCAGGAGTAAAGAAGAAGATTTTTAAAGATTGCAATAATTTTAGTGGTTTTGGCCCCACCCCTCAGGCCCCAGGGGGGCGGGGACCATGAAATTCGCAATTTTTGTTCCCCTTCACCCATAAATTGTGTATACCAAATTTGGTTGATATTGGTTCAGTGGTTTCAGAGAAGAAGCTGAAAATGTTCAAATGTTAACACACTACGCACGACATACGACGCACGACGACGGACGAAAACGGATAGCAATAGGTCACCTGAGTTACTTTATTGCCCAGAAGCAGAATGTTCCGTGGTTTTGCAGTCATATTTTGAGGTCAATGACCACTGTTTTCTTGTAAAACACAAGTACATATCAACTTATGACGGCATAAGAATGAGGTGGAAAGATTCTTGTGATGAACTTAAAACAAGCTCTATCAAGCATACCAGCAGTTCCGTTTCTTCAGGATTGACTAAATTGCCGCAAGGGTGGGCTCTTAAGAAAGACCGTAAAAACACCAGATTCACTGATGACACAAAGACATTTCTAAGATCCATTTTCGATGAAGGAGAGAAAAGTGGCAATAAAGCTAACCCTGCTAGAGTGGCAAGAAACATGAGAGTTTCATGTAACAATGATGGAAGTAAAAGGTTTAAAGCTAGTGAGGTGTTGCAGCCTAGTCACATTGCCGCATATTTTTCCCGATTAGCTGCACAGGCACGGAATCCTGAACTAAGGGAGGATGAATTGGACAGTGCTATTGCACTTATCAATAAAGCTGAGGCATTGGAAGAACTTGATCTTGCATTGTGAAATAAAAATTGATATATTTATTTCAGTTGCCTGTCTTTCAAATGACTACGCAACCTATCACTTTTACTTTTTGATAGACATATCATTTCCACGATTTCAATTTTTTTTTGATATCACAATCTATTTTTTGACAACATCAATTTTATGTATTTGTGTTAGAATATATAGAAGTAAATTGTGCATTGTGCATTTTCTGAACTTGATAAAGTACCGGTTATTAGAATTCTCTTTGATAAAAATGATTACAGTAAAGATGTGCTAATTGTTATTAGTTAGTAGACCAGTTTACTGAATGAATGTTATTTTGTTATGATTTTTTTTACTTACCTGAAAAAGTTGACAAGCCAAAAAAAAAAAATTAAAAAAAGGTGTAAAGTTGCCAAAAGTCGAATATCCTATTTTGTGTGTGTGTGGGGGGGGGGGTACATCACTAAATTGGGGGGGGGGGGGGGTAACCCCCCCCCCCCCCCTGTTGCTTCGCCCCTGAGTGACTTTATCAAATAATGCTTATTTGATAAGAAAACATGATTTGTTGAACAGGTTGCAGGTCTGATTTATTGGCTACACAAAGGTCAAGGGAAAGTCTCGAAATATGTCAATTTCCGAAAGTCCAACTTTGGCACCCTACATTGAGCTCCCTATACTCATTAAATCAAAATTATTGGTGGTCTTAAAGCAAGCAACAATTTTTAGATTATAATTGCAAATTTTAACAATATTAACTGTGTTTTGATTTTTACATCAAATGACCGGCCAAATTTGGCCTTTACTATACCTTGTCCTTTCACCCCCCCCCCCTTTTCCTCATAAAACTATTATCAGAACTGATGAAAAACAAATACTGACTACTTGAATTATCTTTTTTTTTCTCTAATAGTTGCAAAATATGTGTTTAACTGCTACAATTTGAAAAATTAATAGAAAAAAAACAATGTAAAAAAAATCTTGAAACGTGAAAATGGGTGATTGGGGTTGATTTTGTGGAAAATCTATAGAAAGCTACAAACGTTTATTTTTCGTATGTTATAGTTAAAAGGTAGTATAACAATAAAAAGTTAACAGAAATCATTTATCATCATATGAGTTAAGTCATGTTATCATGTTATTGAGATGGATAAAGCTAGTCTAAGAAAGATAACTCCTATCACCTTAGCCTCGGCTTCGGTAAAAGCCGTTAGTTTCCGTAACAAAGGTTGTCACAAAGCATGCGCAAGCATTCAACCTTTTCCAAAATTCCGGTTACAGACGAAGCAAGCAACCAACCCTTTACCTACATAATCCAGCGTCTATATCCTTTTTTCCTAAACATCAGTGTAATTTATTGGTAAAATATTTCTGATTTCAATTGCGGTGAGTATTTACTTCCATTTATTTGCAATATTTTTTGCACATTAGTGCCATACATTGGTGTAAAGTTCGTTTACATCATCTTGACATGTGATTTTATGTGAATCACTCAATCAATCTATCCCACATTTACGGGTACAAATAATGGCCCGTATCTAATATTAAAAAATACATAAATTTTTGTTGTTGCTTGCATGCAAATTATTTCCGATTTATTAAAACGCCTACAGGCAGCGAGTCCACTTAGCTCGCCTGGCGCCATTGTGGGCATGTTTACTTTGTGTATATAACCCCTGCGTTAAACATAAATACCATTTACTTCTACTTAAATTGACTTTATTTAAATCATATACCTATCTTTTTATAAATAAATAAATTGATATATATATATAATATATTGATTTAGCATGTCGGTATAGATTATTGTTAAACTTGCATTTCTTACCCCAAGGACATGCTGCGCGCAAAATCGAAGAGGAAAACCACATCACCTTATGCACGACCAGGTACCAGGTCCACCAGGACATACCGATCACAGGACCCTCCCCCTACAACCTCATCAACGGGACATGCCTCCTCTACAGAATCCAGCCACGCTGCGACTGCCGATCTTGGCTCCATTGCCCCACCATCAACAGCTACGGCAGGCAGCTCAACTGCTCCTCCTACAGATGCATCAGCATCCAGTACTTCAGGTACTGTTTTCAGTGTTGCTTCATGCATACCAGTTTCTTCATACAGTAGCCCTACCCCTCTCATTAGTGTCTCTGATGAGTTGGGGCTTCATGTCCCCCAGTCAATAAAGGAAAAAATTTGGGGGAAAGAATATATAGAGTTAGCTAAAGTCTTAGAGTCTGAGTCAGATTCGGAAAAGGCCCAAAAGTTCTCAATAGTTGGGGGGCAATTGGTTATGCAACCAAAGTCTGGTACTAAAAAAATTACATCTATTGAGTCCTGGACTGATGCGTTCTTAGTGTTTTCTAGTATTTATTTGACTAGACACCCAGTAGACATGCATGGCATTTTAAAGTACATGCAGACTATTCGTCTAGGAGCTAGTCGAAACCCATCTGCTTCATGGTTGGAATATGACAAACAGTTCAGGCTTAAAATGTCAAAGCACACTAGTATATCTTGGGGGTCGGTCGATGCAGAATTGTGGTTACTGTACATGGCAAATCAGATACTCCCGCAACCAACTCAGTCAACACTCAAATGTTATGATTATAATTATAAAGGTTCGTGCGGAAAAAATCCCTGCTCATATATGCACTTGTGCATGTACTGTCACAAAAATCATCCAATCATACACTGCTGGTCAAATCCAACAAAAACTCCATCTAACACCAGACCAAATATTCCCCAATCAGCCCAGTATAATTTTCGGCCCCATTCCTTCCCCCAATCTACAATGCGACCCAGACATTTCTCCCAAACACCCAGACAAAGATATATGGGACCTAGGTTTAACCCCAATTAAGGTGGGCCCCCTTCAAAAGTATCTGTCTCAATACCCTGATCAAGAAGCTGCTCAGTATTTATCAAATGGTTTTCAAAATGGTTTTCGCTTGTTTTATACAGGATTAAGGCTTCCAATGCAACCAAGAAATATGTCCTCAGCTAAGAATCAACTATCCGAACTCCAAAGCATAATTGACAAAGAAATTCATCTTGGTAGGATGGCCGGGCCCTTTGATACCCCTCCAATATCTAATCTAAGATGTAACCCCGTAGGTGTACTTCCCAAAAAAGATGGTAGTTGGAGATTAATAACAAATTTATCTGGCCCCATTGGTAATAGTGTCAATGACTTCATTGACCCATCTTTGTGTTCAGTGTCTTATGATTCTTTTGACCATGCCATCTCCATGATTCAGAAATTGGGTAAGGGGGCCCTACTTTGTAAGATGGATTTGTCAAGTGCTTTTAGGTTAATACCAATCCATCCATCAGACTTCTGTTTATTAGGTATACGCATTGATGATAAATACTATATAGACAAGTGTATGCCTTTTGGTTGCTCAATAGCGTGCTCAACCTTTGAAAAATTTTCATCCTTCCTTCATTGGTTAGTTTCAAATAGAGCTCATAGTTCAAATATTATACATTATTTAGATGATTTCTTGTTCGCGGGAAAGGCGGATACCCCTAATTGTTCACAGTTATCAGAAATATTTCAATCTACCTGTGAGGAACTAGGTGTCCCAATTAACGCTAAGAAAACAGAGGGGCCGACAACTATGCTCTCATTTCTTGGTCTGGGTATTGATACTATAAAACAAACTATTTTTATTCCAGCAGATAAATGTGTTGAACTTGGGTCCAAACTTACCACCCTGATCTATTCTAAAAAGTCTCATTAAAAGAAATGCAGTCTTTGTGCGGGTCCTTAAATTTCTTTGCTAAAGCTATACCAGGAAGTAGAGCCTTTAATCGTAGGTTTTATAACGCAACGATAGGCATTAGAAAGTCCCATTTCCTTATTAGAGTTACTTCTCAGTTGAAAGAAGATGCAAAGGTCTGGTTGGAATTTCTTGCAAGCTATAATGGCCAAACACCATTCCCATCCCTAGACTGGTCTACTAATGAGACCCTCAACCTCTTCACCGACAGTTGTGGTTCCTGCGGTGGAGGGGCCTTTTTCAATAATCACTGGGCAGTTATTACATGGCCTACGGCATGGTGTCCTGAAATACGTCGCGATATCACATTCCTAGAGTTAGTGCCCATATTGACTGCTATTTGGATTTGGTCAGATCAATTTATCTCTCGTAAATTACTCATTAATACCGACAATATGGCATTGGTTCACATCATCAATTCACAATCAAGCAAATCTCAAAGAGTCATGTACCTTTTAAGACCTCTAGTTCTGTTGTGTATCAAAAATAACATTCAGATAAAATGTGTCCATATCCCAGGTTATAAGAACTCTATAGCTGATTCAATTTCTCGTTTTCAGTGGTCAAGATTCAGAACCCTAGCCCCCAATGCAGACAAGTTTTCGGCACAAATCCCTCCTACATTATTGAATCTCTTAAGCCTGAGGTAGAGGACATTCTTTCAGCAGCAGTGTCACAAAATACCGCCACTACATACCAAAGGGGCTTGGATTCTTTTGCCTGGTTCAGGAAAAAATATAATCTCCCCTTGCTATGGCCCCCACCAGTTCACCAATTTGTTAATTATATAGCTTATCTTTCAGCAGTTTCAGTATCATATTCGACTGCTAGGTGTTACTTGAGTGGCATTAGTTATCAACTTCAAATACAAGGGAAGGACGATAATACAAAAGCGTTTATAGTGAAGAAAATGCTTGAGGGCTTACATAGATTAAAACCATCTAAAGACGTTCGGGCACCAATTACATTACCCATGCTAAATCAAATTATTTCTGCACTTCCAACGCTTTGCTCAAATGATTACGAGGCTACACTATTTGCTTCAGCATTTAAATTGGCTTTTTTTGGCTTACTCAGAGTTAGCGAATTTACAGTTTCTAGCAGTAAGGCAACTACCCTATCGTTTTGCGATGTCAGAGTATCCGACACAGAAATTCAGTTCTTCTTAAAGGGTTCCAAAACTGACCAACTTTGTAAAGGTGCAACAGTACAAATAGCATTCAATAGCGAAACATCTGCTTTATTTTTTCACATGCAACAATATCTAGCTATAAGGCCCCATGGTGAAGGTCCATTCTTCTGTCATCTCAATGGTAAACCACTCACTTCATATCAGTTTACCGCAATTTTAACTAGATCAATCAAGTTCATTGGTCTTGACACTTCAGTATTTAAATCACATTCATTTAGAATAGGCGGGGCTACTCATTTGTACCAAAAGGGGGTTCCTGAAGAAGAAATTAAGTTAAAAGGCAGATGGAAATCAAATGCTATGTACTCTTACATTCGAATATAGATATTATTTTTTAATGCACCTGTCAACGTTCAAGTACTTTGTGCTAACAAGTATACTAAGTTTGCAGGTGCACTTAAAGTATGGATAATTGGATCATCACTAATTCATTATGCCCATCGTCACGCATTTATCAACTATTCGGACCAGCATTTGCACCTACAGACCCACAACATATCAATAAGTTGGTTTGGCAAGAGAGGCATGATTTGGGAGGACGTCGAACCCAAGATATATGAACTTATTGGTCAGTTTGGACATCCTGATGTTTTAATGATACATTGTGGGGGGAACAGTATCGGGACTATGTCATTACGCCATCTGCAAAAGTTCATGAAACTAACAATTGTCAATATTCTAAACAAGCTACCTCATTGTAAAATAATTTGGTCTCAAATCCTCCCCAGAAATTATTATAGGCATATGTTTTCACAACAAGCTGCCGAAAAAGCACGGATTAGAATAAACAGTTCACTGTCAAATTTCATTTTGCAAAGAAACGGAGGTTATATTTACTACCCAGATTTAAAGCAATGCACACCAAATTTGTTTCCGGACGGTACTCATTTGTCTGATATAGCCCAAACCTTATTTTTGAATGGTATTCAAGGTGGCCTGTACAGTATTATTTGTAAACAAGTTCAGGTCTACCCCCCTTCTTTATAATTGTCATGCAAGTTAAATAATGCAGTTTTTGTCATGGTATGGGCAAAATTTGCCCGCTTGTGGCGGATGTCTACATGCATCCTTTGCTACTGCTGCAGTTGCATGTCGACATATGGCCGAATTTTGCTTGAAGCACGCTGCAGGTTCTGTTATCTTCCAGGATCTGCGGCCAATAATTGTGCTTCCGTCATTGTGCCATTGCTATTGATTCTACGTCATATACTATTGATAAAGTCGACGTAGACCATTGTTTGTGAACTCATTGTTTATCATTGATCTATTGAACTATTGAACAGTTATTGATCATTACATATATTATTGATCTACCCATCTATTGAACAGTTATTGATCATTACATGTATTATTGATCTTTGCAACTATTGAACTATTGAACAGTTATTGACCATTGTATATATATTCATTGTCTGATTATGCATATCTCATTTTATCTAAAAGTAAAGCCATGACAAAAAACTGCCAAACCATAGTTGCTTTATTCTATCGAAATAATCCGACTTAACTCATTATGAGTTAAGTCATGTTATTGAGATGGATAAAGCTAGTCCAAGAAAGATAACTCCTATCACCTTAGCCTCGGCTTCGGTAAATGTCGTTAGTTTCCGTAACACAGGTTGTCACAAAGCATGCGCAAGCATTCAACCTTTTCCAAAATTCCGGTTACAGACGAAGCAAGCAATCCCTCCCACCCACCCCTTAATTACAGTAATTGCAGTTTCTGAGTAATACTTGCATAATTTTGTATGGTTTGTTGCTGCTGTTTTGTGTTTTTGTTTTTTACAGCGAAGACTCTTCGATCCTCTACACCGTTAGGAGATGGAAGCTCCACGTTATGGCTTTACTTGTTGTGCTGTTCGACTTTGCTGAACTCTCCTCGTATCATCGTTTGGCTGTGGCCGAATTTTGCTTGAAGCACGCCGCAGGTTCTGTTATCTTCCAGGATCTGCGGCCAATAATTGTGCTTCCGTCATTGTGCCATTGCTATTGATTCTACGTCATATACTATTGATAAAGTCGACGTAGACCATTGTTTGTGAACTCATTGTTTATCATTGATCTATTGAACTATTGAACAGTTATTGATCATTACATATATTATTGATCTACCCATCTATTGAACTATATTGAACAGTTATTGATCATTACATGTATTATTGATCTTTGCAACTATTGAACTATTGAACAGTTATTGACCATTGTATATATATTCATTGTCTGATTATGCATATCTCATTTTATCTAAAAGTAAAGCCATGGCAAAAAACTGCCAAACCATAGTTGCTTTATTCTATCGAAATAATTGAAACTTGTGAGATTTTCAGCTTTTTAGAACATGAAAAAAGTTACTTTTTTTGGTTGCAATGGTAACAGTTTCACGAATTGGTATCTATACTTATAAATTAACAAATTTTGCAAATAAACTCTGAAACGGCTGCACAAGAGTTTTTACTTTAGCCTGTAGGAACACACTAGGTATAAGATGATGTCCGTAAACTATATTCAGATTTCACTAGCATAGTATTTATCGTAAATTTAATTAAAAGTCTACTTTCACTTTCGATTAACAGCCTCGAAATAGCACTGAAGAGAGTAAAGTGGTGGCGGATCTAAGTAACTGGCATTTTAAAATAAAACTGACTACAAGCATGCGCTTATTTATTTCATAAAACGTCATTAATGAATTATTCAATCAAAACTTGATTTAAATGATATAATAGAAATAAGCTCTGATCATTGATTAAAAAACAAAATGTGCAAATCCTTTCCGTTTATGTCCGATCTCGCTATTTGTTGAAAGTTCTAGAAAGTCAGGTGGCATCGAACCCGATGTCTAAAAGAAAATCGAGGCGATTGTTTATCATGAATGGACATAGAAATAAATGTAAAGAAATTAGTAACACAATGAGTTTGTGAATATATCTTAGTAAGTTGTGCGAAAGTTTTATTAAAAAATGTTGTTGAATGGCCATGTATATTTGTTTAGACGTATAAAATGGTACAATTTTGACTTTTTAATATTTTAATGTGTTCTTAGATGAGTATTCTACATACAGTATTTAAAAAAATATATTCATGCCTTTTAGGCCCGTATCAGTATGTACATTAGGGATGAAAACGAAGTTTTTTTTCAATATTTTAAATGCTGACAAATATACGAAAATTATAAATAATTGTGTACATTCATTCTCTTACCTTTGACGTAAATGGAATTAAAGAGATCATCTAAAGTATAATAAGCAATAATATAACTCAAACAATATTAAAATTAAGTTTCTTACATATATTAAAGAGAAAAAGCCAATAAGCACCTGTAGAACATAGTGTATAAAATAGTACAACCAAGTGCGGGTCCAGATTTTTTTTCCAAATGGGGGGGGGGGGGGGGGGAAGGGGTTCCATCCCAGTCAAAAAAATTCATTCCAGAAATTTCTTGACAAGCCAAAAAAAAAAAAATAGAAGGCAACCTATTACATTTTCGAGGAAGGGTTTTGTTTCTGGAAGGGGTGTTCAAGGTCACTTTTACTTGGTTTAGTACATGTATATACATAAAATAACTGCAAATTCCGGGGGGGGGGGGGGTTCCGGAGGACACACTCTAGATCCTTGCGTGTACAACAGAATAAAGTTGCTTTAAAACATGTAAGAAGAAGAGGTCTTTAATAAAAATGATATTTGATATTTGTAGAGGTAAAAGAAAAACAACAAAAGGGAGTATATTTCTATTAATCATTTATTTCTTCCGCCTTAACTCATTGTGGAACTTTGAAGTATTTCGTCATGCTGTAGGCCTTTTCATGTGTAATAAATCTCAGATGGTTTTTGGAAAATAGTTCTAGCTGTTAGCAGTAAAAAAAAAATTGAATTTTCCCCGCGCTTGCGCGGGATTTCAGCTAGTTAATTTATATTTAAAGCTTTTTTTGTATTAGACAGGTTATCAATATAATGGATCAAAAGAAGCTTTTATAGAGACTGCTACCTATTTTTCAAAAGCATCCTCTCAATATTGTAATTTCTTGTAAATTTTCATTTATTTTTTTGAAAATGGAAGCCTTGATTTGTTGGCATGGTTTCCATGGCAACAATATTCATAATTGAGTTTTATTGTTTTTAATTTTATTTTTATATCATATTGAAACATATAGAGTCAAAACAAACAACTTATGAAACTATCACTGTAGCACCTTTTGCATGGTTCTTAGGTGGCATGGTACTTAATTTCTGTACATGCGCATTGTCCGAAGTGATAATGTACGAGTTATCTTCATGCTTACAAATTTCTTGTTAGTAATACGTACTTATAAAATTCCTGTGCTAATTGCTTATGTAATATCTTTTCGAATCATCAACCCAGGTGCCGATCGTCTTTGACAACTTCTAAATGAAAAGAAAGATCACGAAGGTTTATAATTTATTATAATATAGCTAATAAAGAAAATAAAAATATAAAAATAAATACTTAAGACCGGGAAAATTGAAAATTTAGAAATAAGCTACATGTTAAATGGCCAAAAAAGGGAAAGGGGAAAGCTTGGACCTTAGACCAACAACAGGCGCGGATCCAAAATTTTTTTTTTCTAGGAGGGATGGGGGGTGTTCCACCACAGTCCAAAAAAAAATTCAACCCAGGAATTTCTTGACTTCGGATGATACCGTATAAACCAAGGTCCAGTGTCACAGCAGGTGTGGCACGATAAATTTAGATCCCCCTGCTCAAAGGCCGTTAGTGCCGAGCAGAGGCCTAAATTTGCAGCCCTTCAGGGGCAATGGTGACGTTTCCATATCAATGTAATAATCTGGAGCGGGACGTTATTAGTATACCAATCAATCAATCTGGACAAGCAAAAAAAGGTAAACTCGCCCAAACGCCCAAACATCTCGATGACTTCTAATGCTTCAAAGTTTTTTTTCTTGCTTTAGTATATGAATTTAACAACCGTGTATATTCCAGGGGGGGGGGGCTGAATAAAATCGCTTTATATAAGATTTTGAACAAAAAAAATTAAATATCAATAGAAAGGAGACTCTAGAATATCTTCTTTAAACCCTCTGCTCTCTTCTTGTGCTTGCCTTTTACATTCTTCCGTGGATGGCTTCCTCTGGTGTAGGACGAGTCTTGGCATCGGGTCTCCTCGAGTGCTAATAAATTTGGCGTCGAGTTTCTCAAAGGAAGAGTTCATTAACATCTATTCAGCCTTGGTTTTCTCTAATCTATTGTATTGGTGAAGATGTGTCCTCAATTCGGTTTCCCCGTTCTTTAAGATTCTAGCACATTCGCTGCATCTCTGTAATTAGGTCCAGCACAATACCCTGATAACGGTATATAGCTTGATAAAGCTACATGTATTTAGCTTTAGCAAGATATTACAAATACCTTGATCAAGGTATTTTATGTAATGAAAATTCAAAAATAAATACTGAAAGTCGAATTTTTAGTTGTTTTCACCCATGCATGTAAAGTACTCCAACACAAAGAAATCGGAATAAAAGCATGCCGTGTGAGGAGAGGTCCTTTTAGGCTGTCTTCGATACCGGAGTGCTTTTCATGCACGAGTAGACACACTGACAACAACATAAAATACCTTGATAAATCTATTTGTAATACCTTGCTTTATCAAACTACATACCTTTATTAGTCAGCCCCCGGGCTGACTAGTTACGTTAGGATGAAACTGCAAGTGCGCTTGCGTTAATCGGAATTCTGGGAAAAAGATTCGCACGATTTTCTCCAACCAGAGGGCGTGCTTCTTCACACACACACGACATCAATCTATTTATAGACTGCATTGTTCTTCGTCGTTCTCGAAGAAAATAAACATAAACTGTTCAGCTTCTAGATGAGATATTTGTCAGTTTTTAAATGATACTATGAAAATATTTCTTTGCTTCTAATAGATGATAAGTACATTTATTCCCTCAATTGCATTGTAAGCCGAAGATTTAAATTGTGTATTCCTCTGGATGTCTGATGCAAGACTCCCTCGATCAGTATTCAATACCTTGCATAAGACATGTACGGGTCGGAATCCACACAACAATCCACTTGCCACAAAGGTCCCAAAATATTGAAAAAAAGATCAATTTCTCTTTAACACTCTAATGAGGGAACTTACGAAAACATCAGCTAGAAGACCACTGTAAGACAGAAAATTCTTAAAATTTACATGATGATAGACGTGTAAGTGCCGCTTGTGCACGTAAACCGCGCCCACATGTGAGACCACAGTGGAAATGCGATAGCTGAGGAAACTGTGCTGATTTATAGACTATATATACTCAACAAAAAAAGAAACGCATATTGTTTTATTCGTCAACGAAATTTTTAAAATGTACATGAAACAACTATTTTTTATATCATTGGATACCTGTGACCTATTTAAAAGACAACATGGGGTTTTAAAACCCAAGTGTTGAATTATCTCCCTTGATTAAACTTGTTTTATTCGTCAAAGAAATTTTTAAAATGTACATGAAACAACTATTTTTTATATCATTGGATACCTGTGACCTATTTAAAAGACAACATGGGGTCTTAAAACCCAAGTGTTGAATTATCTCCCTTGATTAAACATGTTTATGAAAGTAGTGTTTTTCATGATTTCTTCTAAATCAGATGTCTATTTTCATTGATATTTTGGATTTAGAGAAACTTTTAACACTTCTATTAAACCCATATTTAAGATATTATTGCAGTGTTA